AAGTGGGAGAACTTGCACAATTGGTGGCTGACTAAATACTTTTTTGCCCCACTGTAAGTCAATTCAATTTATTTATTCTGGGCAGATTTAATAGACCACAAGTCCGCACACATCTGTTAGTCACTTTAATTCACAAAAGTTTCACAGCTTCTTCTTGATCTAATTTTCAACTGATAAATCAGCTAGGCAACTGGCTATCTACATGTTTGATATATCAAAATCCTTTAGTTCTATTACTATTCCATCTTGGTTTGCTTAATCTAAGCACTAGCAGATGCACCTGTCCCTGCAGTTATTTCTCATTATGAACTGATCTACATGATAAAGTATTCTATTTGCAAAAATGAGGTACAGGCAGTCCTTGACAATAAGGATCAGAAAATTGATCATTAAGCAGTGTTGTCATGAAGCGAGGAATCACATGATCGCACCAAATTTCACATTTTTTGTGCCAGTTGTTAAGCAAATCACTATGGTCATTAAGTGAATCATGCCATTTCCCATTGATTTTGCTTCTTCGAAGCCAGCTGGGAAGGTTGCAAATGGCAATCACATGACCCTAGGATGCTGCAACCATCATAAATACATGTCGGTTTCCAAGCACCTTGATTTTGATCACGTGACTGTGGCGACACTGTGATGGTCGTAAGTGCAAGGACCAGTTGTAAGTTACTTTTTTCAGCACCATCGCAATTTCAAATGGGCACTAAACGAATGGTCATAAGTTGAGGACCATCCATACAAATAATCTTACAGTAACAAGATTACAGACCTAAAAATCTTTATACCCTGTTCAGCAGGCACATCAGGCATTTCCCAATATCTCATGCTACTTGTGAAGGGTGGGCAATTTCCAGAATGAAATTTAATGTACGCAATCCAGAGGAAAATTGACAATCTGAATAAAGTATATTTGTTCCTCCAGAAGTATGTTTAAATCAAGACCAGGAGTCTAAAATATTACTTGCAGAATAAATTGTTAATGATTGTGCTGAATGGAATTAGAAGTTCAAAACATAATTGAGAGCTGTAGAGTCCTTGGGATTCTCCGAGCTTGGTTGTCTTCTTGCAAACGTTTCATTACCCAACTAGGTAACATCTTCAGTGCTAGAATGGAATGGGGTTTGCTCCGTGTTTATATACTGTGGCATGCCCTGCCAGTGCCAATGGGGGTGGGGGTTTTGTTTTATTTTTTTCCCTCGTAGTTCTTTGATTAGGGTATTTTAAACAATACCTTAATCAAGGAACTACCAGAGGGGGGAAAATTAAAAAAAAATTAATCAAGGAACAATACCCTAATCAAGGAACTAACTACCATAGGGAAAAAACAAAACAGAACAAAACAAAACCGACACCCACACCGACACTGGCAGGGCATGCCACAGTATATAAACACAGAGCAAACCCCATTCCATTCTAGCACTGAAGATGTTACCTAGTTGGGTAGTGAAACATTTGCAAGTAAACAACCAAGCTCAGAGAACCCCAAGGACTCCACAGTTCAACTCTGAGCTATACATATTCGCTTCTACTAATAAGAGAGAGCACAAATTAATATACTGTATGCAGATTTCAGTCAAAAATCTTAACTTGATTAATCATTCTCTAAGGATACTGAAAAATGTTCAAATGTTTGTGCTGAAGTCACTTTCTATTCAGGAGCCCGGTCAGCATACATAATGCTGCCTCCTATTATAATGCATTGTGAAACACTGTACGCATTCTTAGTTTTGCTGTGTTTAATAATTTAATACTGCCTACAAATACCTATTAATCCCTGAGCATTATTCATGTTACATTCAATTTATGGAAAAGGTATCTCTAGAAAAGACAAGGTTTTTTAAAAAGTAGACCACAAACTATTATGGAATCCTCATTTTTGAGAAATATCACAATTATTACTTTTTCTTTAAAAGAGTTCCTTATTAGACTAGTACGTTCAGAACGGAAATTTTCAACAGGACAAAACTCTAAATAATATTTAAAGTAACAGGCCATGTACCAGATGAAGTGGATTCCAACTGAAAGGATTCTACAAATTAGTAACTTGAAAATACCACAATACTGTTTTATTTTAATACGCTTGAAGACAGGACTGCCTGACATATTCATATTATTTAATGCTGGCAGGGAATTATCATTTAATAGCTCTGTAAGAGCTTTACAAGCTAATGTTCTTAAATTCTTAAATTATTCAGAATACTTACACACACAGAAAAATGTCCTGAAGTTCCAGTTATGTTAAATGTAATTTGAAAATTGTTAGAAATCAAGTAAGGAATATCATACAGTAGCTCTATAAGGTTTTTTTTTTTAAAAAAAAAAAAGACTAGCTATACACTTTGTTCCTGGCCTCAACCTGTGGCCTGCCACAGGTATCTGGTTCAAATATCAAGCTAAATAAACCACAGAAAAAACTTCTTTGCTTTGTTTAAATATGAGATATAGACAAGGAACAGCATACATTAATTAAAGTTATCTGTTTTATAACTTATAAGCTTGTACTTTAAGTTCACTTTAGTTTTAGAAACATTATGGAGGCACCAATATA